GATGGCGGCACCACTGAGCTAAATCCCTGGCCCCTTTCAGCCTATATTCTTAATCTTCTTACATTTTAACAGATGGTGGTGGTCAGCCAGGAACCTGGTCAAAAATGAGGGGCCATTAATGTTGGAGATTATTTGTTATTTCTTCAAGAAAAAGCTAAGGAGATACAGGATTTGGATAGTGATATAGCAAACAATACCAGCAAGTGACTTACTTGGGCAGCCAGATTCATTTTCTCTCCTGGATCACTTGGCTTCTACTTGACCTTGGTGCTTGATGGAGTTTCTAGCCACCATGCTTCTGGCTTCTGCACTGAAACACAAAGTTACCATTAGCAGTACCCCAGCCTGTGGCTAATTTGACTGCCCTCTTTAGCAAGTGGCTGCCCAAGAAGTGAAGAATTCTTTCCACGGTAGCAGCTTGGGTGTAAATGGTGAGAACCTTCCTTTGGAACATGTTTGACGTGGACAGGCAGAAAGGAAGCTTTCATTTAGCTCGGTTGGTTTGCAGACAGAGCTGAGGGGACATGGTCAGAGCCCCAGCCCGTGTGTGGTCATTCAGCGTTGTCCTGTTCCATGGCCACAGCCCATATTTTCAGTCTGGCCAGACATCTTGTAATACATATGGCATGCTGTGATAGTCTCTGTTGGGATGGGAGAAAAAGGTGTGGATGAATCAGTTCAGCTTCAAATTCTTGACCAAAGGAGCAGTTTGGAACACACAACTGGAAGAGAGCAAAGTCATGTGCAGAGTCAAGCCCAGCAGCATCAGTGTTCTGTAAAATATTTCAGTTTGGGGGTGCATCCCGTGAAGAATGCCAACAAGTCCTCAGTAGACCCTGAACATGGCCAGCTGTCTTTATTACAAAGAAAGTGAAACTAAGGTTCACATAGTAAAAGACTAACCTGTGTAATAAATATTTTAGATCTTTCGGCTTCTAGCACTTAGACAGAACTTCATTCATTCCAGAGCAAATTCATAGACAGTTGTTCCTATTTTTAATTGCCTTTGTATCTTTTTTGAAAAATCACTGAGCACAAATGGGACTGTTCTGGGATTCAGTGTTCTATTCTGCTGATCTCTTTTGTCTATTTTTGCACCAATAGTTCCTTCCCTTGGTTACTAAAGGTTTATAATAAATCTTGAAATCAGGTAGTTTAACTTCTCCAAACTTCTTTTTGTCTTTGTTGTTTGAGCTAGTCTTTGTGTTTGCCTATGAAATTTAGAATCAGTTTTCCAATTTCTATCCCTCCAAAAAGTTGGCCTGGGTTTTGATTGGGATTACTTTGAATCCATAGGTCAGTCTGGGTACTGACTTATTTCTCCAAATTTTTGACATGATTCGTGAATTAAATTGTCCTGGGATGGAGCTTCTGAACTCTCAGCATATGCATACAACTATCCACGGCTGTAGGTGTTTAGCTAATTGATTTAAAGCTAAGAAGAATAAATGTTTACAAGGACTATAAGCCCACTGGAGGCAGGATTATCAGGACTTCACTGATGATAAGCTTATTTACAAAAAGGAGGAAATTTGTTGTCCATATATCTGCTAGAAGCACTATTTCTATAGGCTATATTTATAAAATATTTAATTTCTACAATTAGGTGTTATTTATTGTCCTTTAAAATGGGGAAGATCAGGAATGAAGAGGCAGAGCAATGAAGCTGAGGCCACAAAATAATCAAGTAGTAAAGTTGTCTTTTACTCCCAGCCTTATCGAATTTATGTTTTACAAATTGTGTTCAGAGAGCCCCAAGCCCCATGTGAGTATGGGTGGGATGCAGGGGGGGAGAGGAGAAAAGTGGTCTGGTTTGCCATACTCCACATTGTGCTTCCACCAGTTTTCTTTTTTGGGGGTTGGGTACTGGGGATTGAACGCAGGACCTTGTGCTTTCAAGGAAGGTGGCGGCACCACTGAGCTAAATCCCTGGCCCCCTCACCAGTTTTCTAGTGACCAGTTTTGTAGGTTGGGTTTCTGCTTAGAAAACAAAAACAGAACGCCAACACCAAGAACAAAAATAGGCATGCTGTACCAGGAGTTTGCAAATCACTTAGTGTAGCCTTTGCCATGAGAATTTCTTTTTTTTTCTCCTGGATAGGGCTCCTGAAAAGTTTGGGCTAGTTGGGAACACGTTAAGGCTGTCAGGGGTCTGAAGGAGGACAGAGGGGCTGCGTCTCAGTGGGGATTCCAATCCTGAGTTCCTTCAGGCTGCAGGGCCTATGGTCTGAAATGGAAAGCTGCTGGTTCCCTAGTGGCCAGAGTCCACTCTGGATCGCAGCCCAGGTCAATTTGTGGACAAGACTGTTCAATCCCAGTGCTCACTTAGTGCTCTGGGCTCTTCCAATCTGCATGCTTCCTGTGCTCGGGTGACTGTCTGCATTCCCGGGCAGCTTCTCCTGGATGTCCTCCTTTCTCTCCTCCTCATCAGCCTCACCCTTGGCAGATACTCTGCAAAATTCAGCCTTCTTCATCTTCGGTCTCTCTCTCAAAAGCTGAAAAGCTTTTTTACTTAATTCTTGACTTTCTCATCTTTGCCAAAACCCAAGGCCCATATCTGTCATGTGCCAGCAAGAGCCAGGAGAAGTTGTTTAGAAGAATCCAGAAATGACCTTGAACCTTTGCTCAATACACAGATGACAGGTTCTCTCCTTCCCCACCACACCCCAACACACATGCTTCTTGTCAGACCAGAAAATACTTTATTGCTATTTTTCCTCTTTCCTTCCTCTACCACCCTTCTTCATAAACACTTCCAGTTATTCCCTGCCTATTGCTTCTCTTTTGGAAAATTAATCAGAGAACCGAAATCTCAGGGCAGAAAGAGGCCTTCGGAGGGCATTTAACCCAGGCTGTAGCTCCCAGGCTTCCATCACAGTTGGCTGGGATAGGGACTTGCTCACTCATGTTTGGACTTTCATCAGTTTCCACACCATCTCATTTAAGAGTATCTGGGTCTTGTTCATATTATCATCTTATTTACTAATTCTGTTTCAGTATATCTGAATCATTCCCACATTTATTGCAACATAATTCACAATAATCAAGATATGGAATCAACCTAGGTGTTCAAGGCAAATTAATTGATAAAGAAAATGTGGTGCATATCCAGTGGAATATTATAATGTTCTAAAGTAGAATGAAATCCTGGGCCGGGGATTTAGCTGAGTGGTTTCACTGCCTGCTGCGCAAACGCAAGGACCTGAGTTCAATCCCTGGTACCAAAAGAAAAAAAAAAATAGAATGAAATCCTGTCATTTGCAGCAATATGGATGACCTGAAGGACATTATGGTAAGTGAAATAAATCAAGCACAGGAAAATAAAGACTACATGTTCTCACTTACAAGTAAGTAGAAGATAAAATAGATGGTCTCATGGAATTAGAGTAGAATTGTGATTACCAAAAACTAAGAAGACATTTTGGAGGGGAAGTGAATAAGCAAAGGATGGTTAATGAGTATAGGTGAAATTGAATAGAAAGAATAACTTCTAATATTCTAGAGCACATTATAACTATGCTTGACAACATTAAATTACATATCTCAAAATAGTAGAAAGGATTTTCAATGTTCTCAACACAAAGAAATGTTCATATTTTAAGTAGAGGATAATTTTATCAAACATCTCATATATATTTATCTATATAGATATATATAGTACATATTTATGAGGCATAGGTATATATCTATATAAATGTGCAGATATAAATATATATCTGTCCCCCTGTATTTCATAAATGTGTACAATTATAATGTGCCAATTTAACATTTAAAAAAAGTTTCTTTTTTTTCAGTTCAGAGCTGCACAATGCATATAATGTATATTCACTGATAGTTGCTACTATGACTTGTTGAAAAATATTGAGCTCCCTTGTGGCAGATGTACATCAACAAATCTTTTCTTGGTTCAGTCAGGATTCTTGGGGTGTCAGATATGATTTGAGGTTCCATAGATAAAGACCAGAGGCTGTCAATAATGATCCAGATATGAAGCTGACTGATCTGCAGAAAGCCATGAAATCAAATGCCGAGAGTGGAGATAATAAGGTGGTAGGAGTCTATGATGATGCAAAAAAAATGAGACTCTTATAACCAATACACTGTTGGTTTAGTTCTAAATCCAGCTATTGTGAAACAAAACCATTTATACTGCCTGATTGGCTGGTTAGTTGGTTGATTGATTTTGACTTAAAAAGTACAGATTGGTTCTGTGCATTAGGCAGCTGTTTAGATCTCTGCTGTCCCCAGAGCACAAATGTGGGAAACTCCTTTTTTCCCAGGGACTTAAGGGGACAGAAGTGTCAATCATTCCATTTTCCTTGACTTGAACATAGTTGTAAAAATGCCTCTCCCTTTCTTTCATTTACATTTTTACCCCCATATAGTTTGTCTTCTGAACCCTTTAAAAATCTAGACCTGCTTTGTCCCCTTTGTCCACTTTTGAGAAAAGATTTCCAAGCCTCACACTCTAAAAGCCAGGGATCTCTCTGGGGCCCCAACAAAGCACTGTGAGAACACAGCTTTCATCAGTGATGCTTTGTGCTTTTGTTACTTGCTGAAAAACTGGAACCCTTGGGCAGTGTAGTCTTCACTGAAGACTCCTTGGTCTGAATTTAGGATGCACCTTGGATGTCCACAGCTTTGTCTCATTGTTTTACAAAGAGGGCCTGGGAATATGTGAGAGAAAGAGGGAACCAAAAAGCACCCAACAGAGGAAAATTCTGACCTTGTATATGAGAAAGAAGAGTAAATTGGGTGGGGAATTTATAAAGGTGAGAGTGGGCACTAGAAGAAGTGAGTCTAGAGGGATGAATTTCTAACTGCAATAAAACAACTGCCCAACAGAGGAGGAGTGCAATTCAACAGATGTTTCCTGAGCTCCTATAATTGCAAAGCAATACTTGTACCAGGTGTACCTTAATATCCTCCCAGAGATGCAAGGCCAAGGGAACAGCATAGAACTTCCAGTTGTCCACTTTTTTTTTTTTTTTGTATTTCAGGGCAATGACCGCCAGGACTTTGGGAGAAGGGATGATGCTGATAGCAAAGCCTTTCTTTCTTATGGGGCTGAAGTGAAGTCAGATGTGGAGTTGTGGGCACTGGAAATCTAAGGAGAGGTTCCTAGATTCTCACCTCCACAAACCAGTGCCTATAGGGAGCAGGTAAGGAACATCATGAGAGTTTCCAAGACATCCATAGGTGGTTAGAGAACCCATGGAGTGTTGGGGAAAGGTTTCAGAAACCCAAAGTAAAGTTCTATGGAATCTCAAACTGTTTAGTCCTAGACATGCTCAGGAGAGGTTAAGGAGAAACAAGTTGTTTGTGCAGAGAAAAGCAAAACATCTTTCACATGGGAAAATGACAGCCCAGGAAAGACATACACTCTCTACTCCAGGCTCCCACAACCAAAATGTCAGGATGAGAGAGTGAACACATCCATCCTGCGAGTGGCCTGAGGCCCACCTAGAGCAGAACCATTTTCTTCCAGGTCTGTTCATTTGTGCACAGCCACACCTACACAAATATCATTCATTGCCTTTGACTTTGGGGCTTAAATGGAAGAGAGAAAATGTGTGCATGCTCTGAGTCATCATGCCATGGGATGCTGTCATTGAGTAATGGCTTCAGTCCTCATCTTTTGAGATGCTTCTCCATTAGCAGGTTGAGGTAGCAAATGTGAAGCAGTATTGTTTGGGAAGTCATTATCTAAAATAAAAACAACATTATTTGGAATCTAAGAGCATCTGAACTTCTCTCCTGGACTGGGATCCATTTGATTTGAGGTCAGGCTTCTAGGAGGTGAGATTTTAACCCAACACACTCAGATAGCTACTGTGACTTTGTCACCTGATTCTCATTATGTGGCAGATGGGAGTTTCATACATGGCTCCCAGCAGTGGTTTAATCCATGTTGGGCAGAGGTGCTGACTGAAGAGTTTCCTCTAGAAGCCAGTGTTCACCTGGAATGCTGGCTTGTCTGGGACACTGATCTTGGTGTGCACTATCCTTTCTGTTCACTTGACTTTCTAGCTGATCACTACAAGTAAAATTCAAGGATTAACTGGTTCTTTGGGGTGCCTTTTGGGAAGAAGCAAATATCCTGTATTCATGCTTGTCTTGGGTTCAGGTGAAGTCTGCTCTCCTTTCAAACATCAGACCAGTGGTTCTCACACTCAAGTAAACACTGAAGCCCCAAGAAGTCCCACTTAAAAGAGGCATACTGATCATTTCCTTAGAGAGTGTGACTCCACAGGTCTTGGGCTGGTGGTTGTGAACCTATAGCAAATGTGTCTCAGAGGACGTGCAGAGCCCTCTTTGTCATCATGCTAGCCAAGTTGCTCCAAGCAGCCAAGCGTTGGATATTCAGGCTTAATGCAGTGTTAATGCTTTGGGATAAGTAAGTGTGTTTTGGATTGCAGTTTGGGCACTGGGTCTCTAAAAGATTCACTTTCACTGCTCTAGGGATGTACCCAGAAATCTGTACTTGTGTACATGCACATACATGAGTGTGTGCACATGCACCTGTGTGTGTATGTGTGTGCCTGTGTGCACTACCGAGAACTGAACCCAGGACCTTGTGCATGCTTGGAAAGCACTCTACCACTGAGGTACATTCCCAACCCTTTTTATTGTTTTTAGTTTGAGACAGTATCTCACCAAATTTCCCACGTTGGCCTTGAACCTGTGAGTCTCTTGCCTCAGCTTCCCAAGTAGCTGAGATTGCAGATATGTGCCATCTGACCTGGCAGGAATCTGTCTTTATAAAAACTATGTAGGTGATTCTGATGGAGGTGGTCCATGAAAACCACTCTGGGGAAATTCAGTGTACTGTCCCTTGAACTCTGCCTACAGGTACACCTTAAGATCAGTCTTCTGAGCATTTGGCCCAAGCAGTTGTCTCTGAGTTGTGCCTCCATTGAAACCTCAGTAGAACGTGTGCCTCCTGAGGAATCTGTCTTTTTCTTTGAGAATCAGGAATGCTGGTGAGCAGTATGGGGAGGAGCATGAATTACAGACACACTGAATTTGAATTCTGCCTCTTCCCCTTACAAGCTGAGTTAACTCGGGCAAGTTTCGAAACTCTGCTTCATTTTTCTCATCTGTAAAAATGGGGATAACAATACTGTCTGCTTGATAAAGTTGTTATGAAGATGGACCAAGTTAACATTAGAAGAATGACTATACCTTTCTACTTTAAACTCTTATATTAGGGTTTGATAAGTAAGATAAATATCTCTTAATTCCCATGATTCTAAGAAGTACTGTAGAATAAAGTATTATATATAGTTATACAGATGCTCCTTGACTGACAATGGGATTATGCTCTACAAACCCATCATTAATTGAAAGCACCAATCAAAAATACATTTAATACATGTAGCCTACCAAATAGTGTAGTTTATCCTCACTTACATTAAACATTCTCAGAGCACTTATAATAGTTAAATCATGTAACACAAAGTCAATTTTGTAATAAAGTATTTAATATCTCATGTAACTTATTGAATACTGTACAGAAAATTAAAAACTATATAAATATGCTTTTGCACCACTGCAAAGTTGAAAAAAAATACTTAAGTTGTGCCATCGTAAGTGGGGAACCAGCTGGATGAGAGTGAAGCTGTTGGAGTCAAGAAGGAAAATGATTTGCTGAAGACTCAGAGCTGTTCTTTGGCCTGGCTAGGACTAAAGATGACTCTTTTCACTCTCAGGAAAATTGCGTTTGTTTTCCCTGAATTGCCTGGCTAATCCCCCTTTCTTCTTGTTATAATGAATTCCATTTCTTGTTGTATATCTGTTTATATTAGTAGATAATTTATGAAAAGACTAGACAGGTAGACAAACATTAAGCCATATTTCATTCTCCCTCTGACCCTATCCTAATTGGTAAGCATGTCAAGTTATTGCCATACCAATCTTGGTCTGATCATTTTGTTTTTATTCTGGTATCTAGACCAGAAGGCTTATGGGATAGGGTTAGGCTTAGCACTTCAGTGGGATTTGGACCTATGGGTCCACTGCATTTGGCACCTGCTGCATTTTATCCCCACCTGCTGCATCATAACTATCTTGTATAAGTTTAGCAGAAAGAGTCCTATATCCTCTAAAAGGACTATATATGGCTTTTCCAGGTCATGCTGTGGGAATTGTGAAAGTACAGAGTATCCATGTCTGGAAATCCCTGAATTATTCACACCCTGAACCATTAACATATGTAACATTTCAAGCAATGCGTGTCTGACTTACCTGGTGCTTTGGGTGGGAGGACTTAATATTCTTCTAAGGGAGAGAATTAGAAAAGTTAATGTCATCTGTCATCTTATTTTCTACTTGGCTCCTCTACTTTATCCGCCACTTCTGGGTTTGCTGCTGCTCTGGCTGATTTGGGATGGAATGGATCAATCCAAAGACAACCGAAGGCATAGGTGCATAAGGGAACATCTGTCCATCTTGATTTCCAAACACTGGGTTAATCTGCCTTTCTCCTGGTTTCCTTCTCCAGCATCTTTTATTTAACACATTAAGTTCTGCTATGCAATGAGGTTGTTTCCTCTCACTCTCTTTTTCCATAAAAAAAACCTTTGTTAAAGTGCTGTTGGCATAGAGTACAGCGTCAGGGGTTCAAAGTGAGATAAATTAATTTAGCCCTTGACTTTCTAGGTTTATGTCAATAGATGATTAGAGGTGGATGAATATAAAGGAAATATGGAGACAAATAATAATCTTAAAATTCAAGAACAAATTTTTGTATATGTAGAAAACATAAGCCAAAATGATACAATATCAACATTTGGCAAATGAAACTATTTCTGTGGCAGAATATGTACATGTCAATGTTGCAATGAGTGTAGAGTAGAGAACTGAAGCAATTTTGTAGATAATAAAGACCCAGGCAGGATGCTTTTAAGCAATCAAGTGCTCAACTGATTTTCCAAGTTCAAGAGAACATGAACATTAGAGCATTGAGTGGGACCATTCTGTAAACAAAGCTGTAGTTATGAAAGCAACTATCAAAATTAAGATTTAAAAGATAAGATCAAGAACAGGTGCCTTTTGTTTTCTGCAGTCTGTGCGTTCTTGAAAAAACTGGGTGTCCATACTTTTCTCTATTAATCTAATGCTATCTAACTGTAACAGAATGAATATCCCAAGACACTATGTAGTTGATATCATTGCAAAGTCACTTGAGAATGGTAAAAATCACTTTTCTAAGATCACGTTCTTAAACTATAATGTCTTCAAAGTGGGATTATATCTGGTTGAGGCATATTGCCTATAGGTAAGAGATATATGCATTTATGGGTTACTCACAGAAGGCTGTGAACATAACACAGAAATGTGATATTTATCAACTATTTTATATGTGTGCTATTCTGAAGACATGAAATAGCTTTCTCTGGAGGCAAAGGGTTAGGTGATCCTTCATTTCTTTTTTGATCCTTACTAGACCAGTCCTCCCTAGAATAACCCTTACTCCCTCTTTCCACTAGCGCCCATCTCATCTCTACCCAAAGAAAATTCCTTTTAAGTTATTTAATTGATCATTCACTTTTACTTTCACGACATTTATCTAAATGCCAGTCCATCCCCACCAAAATGGTCCCATGCTTTGGGCTGACAATATTCTGGCAATAACTCAGAGTTCATCATAGGGCTCTGATCAAAGTTGTCCCATATGGCAGTCACATATGACTATTGAATATTTGAAATGCAACAAATGCACTGAGAATTGATTTTTCAATTTAGTTTAAAGCCTGACATGTATTTCAGCTTTTGTAGAAATTTTAAATATGCTTGAAACAATTTGATCACGTATCAACTATTAGTTTTTATGGGAACTAAATATAAAACAAATTTTCAAAAAGACTTTAGCATTCGAATTAAGTTGTGCTCTAAGTATAAAATACACACCAGATTTTGAAGATTAGTAAGAAAAGAAGAATATAAAATATTTCATTAATAATTTTATATTGGTTACATGCTGAAATGATAACATTTTGGATAAATTGGGTGAAATAAAATATATTATTAAAATTAATTTCAGCTGTTTCTTCTTTTTGATATGGCTACCAGAACACTGAAAATTATAGATATGGCTCAAATTGTTTGTGTTGTGGTTACACCTACCTCATGACTTCTGAATGTAGCCAAATAGATCAGATATCTCTACAGCAAGGTTTTAAGTTGAATCCCCTTTAGCTGCAGAACATCCACTAACCTCCAGTTTTATTCTTTGAGTTAGTTTCCAAATGTACACTTGCACAGCAATTGCTTTGGGGCCTGTGAATTTTCTTACATGCCTTTCTGTTCTGTCAGCCCATATGCATATAGTTGATGCCTTTTTTTTTCATTCTTTAATGCAGGGTCTTGCTGTGTTGACTAGGCTAGTCTCAAACTCCTGGGCTTAAGTGACTCTCTTGTCTCAGCCTTTCGAATAGCTAGAACTACAGGCATACAACAATGAGCCTGGTTTGTTTATTCACTAAAAAAATAGCAAGACTTTCAGAAAATACTTAAAAAGATTTCTAAAGAATATGCACAATTATTACTCTGAACTTCTTATTTTCTACAGATGAAAAGCAAAACTTAGGGTGGGGATAAGTTCTGCTCACCAGTGGCACCTCCAGACTCCTACTGCTAAGTATTCTTCCTGTTCCATTGCACGGGAGGGGACCGGGTCCATGAACGTTATAACAGATCATTACAAACACCAAGCTAGCTGGTTATTAATGAAAGCCAGATGATGGACTACAAAACATGTCACTCAGAAAGCCAGCTCATTGGAATGGACCATACAGGGTTAAATAGTGGGAGAAACCTGGGGTATGAGTCAGAAGGTTAGGACCTGTGGTCTTAACTCTGCTTTGAGTGGGTTAGTTCATTGGGTAGGTCACAGGGTAGGTCATTCTTCACACCTCACCCCCTTTGCTCATCTGTCAAATGAGAAGTTCAGAGCAGAAGGTCTCTAGGGCTCCTTGCTGCTTCTACAAGCCAAATTTCAATCAATCTAATCCCAGCCTCTTGCTGACCTCCAGCTGCAAAAACACCAAGGCACAGCCCCCTGGGTTTGCAAATGCTAGCATTACAGCCAGCAACCTTGGGCCTGAGGAGCAGGGCATGAGGAAGAGTGCCTGGACAGCCCACAGGCTCTGGAACTCTGCTGCATCTCATCTCTGGTCAGTAACCTCCTCCTTCCTTTGCAGCAGTATGTGCCATCACACACAGCTTTAGGGGGTCAAGGGCATTTACATTTTAAAATCATTTATCAAATTAATATCTAGAAAGTATTTACTAATGTTTTTTCTCAAAATCAGGTATTTTTAAAATCATTTTTGCCACTAAAAAGCATCTCAATGTGTTATTTCCATTTGGTGCTTTGTAATTAGAAGGGATGTTGAACTTTCCCCCATAAAGTTATTTAAAATTTTCATTTAATCTCTTAGGCATGTTTTGGTCCAATGTTTTCCATGGTTTTTGTCTTAATGATTTAAGAGTTCTTTACATTTAAATCTATTAAGCCTTTCTCATCACATCTTTGTACCCCTTGCTTATAAATATTTTTCATGTTTTGTTATTTATGTTTTACTTTTGTGCATACTATAGTTTACTTTTAACTTATAGCCATTAACATTTTTAAATGATCACATTTGTCCACCTTTTATTAGAAGAAAAAGTATGTACTTTTATATTTTTATAGTATGTCCTCTACTCTTTATAATTTTACATACAATGGTTAACTATTTTTCTCTTTATAGGGTCTTATTTTGGCTTATGGTCTGAGGTAAGAAGACAAATTCCCTTTTCTCTATATAACCAATAATTTCCTGCACAGCTTACTGAATAAATTACCCTATTCCTTTTGTTTTCCCCACCCATTTAAAGTAGCCCATTGTTGAAATCATCAGAGAAAACTTTTTATTGGGAAGTCTGAATGGCATAATTATAATTCATCGATCCAGCTTGAACTATCTATGGTTGTTAGGATGGGAAAAATTGTAGGAAAAGGGATGAGTAAAATAAATTATCATTGATATACAAAATATATTAGTATATGTATTAGTATAATTAGTATATAAACAAATAAATTTATATATAAACATATACATGTAAGTTTAGATATAAACTGAAGAAGTCAATTAAATATTTTATATACTTATTTGGACATTTGATGGAGACTATCTGGACGTACAGAGAAGGTAAGTAAGAAATCAGATTTTCCAGTGTTGTTTAGAAGTTTATCACTGCATAGTAGCTTTTAGCATCTGGTTGTGATTTGTGTTATTTCTACCCAATGGAGACACAGTAGCCTTTCTGCTGGATAGATGGGAAGTGTGGAGCCCCAGAAGTTGTAGTGTCTTACAAGGGGAGGACAGCCACTTTGCTGGCTCCTTGGGTTAACTGCCCTTTTTACAAAGCAAGATGTTAGCTACTGCACTTACTGAAGTCCACATCTTTCTGGGGCCACATTCTAGCTAGGGGCCACCGCAGACTTTTTCAGATCCTTCCATCTGAAAGGAGGTAGGGCTCAGAAGGACATTTGGGCTATGGAAAGACTTCCAAGTCAGCCAAGTTCATCATGTCTGAGCCACATACGGTGTACTCTTTGTTCTTTTGAGGTTAGAATTTTTTAAAACTAAGTAATTAAAATAAAATTCAACACATCCTGCTCACCCAGCACATGTTCCTCAGGGCTGCAGGAAAACCTCAATGCTGTCAGAACAGAGTCAGTGAGACCTCTGGGATGACTTGGTTAGAGTCAACTGGCCACCCTGCTGGTTTCTTCTTAAGAAGGAACTTATTTTAATTTAACTTCTTAAGAATCAGCTCATTTTAGGAGGCTGTAAATTTTATTGCTCAGCTTTCTTGAGTGTGGTATCAATCTCGGCTTCATTTTACATTATATTTCTTCTGTGCTGAGGGAAGTAAGAATCTTGGAGTTATGAGATTTAGGCTTGGTGTAAAAAAGACCCCTAGACCACAAAACCTCTAGTTCAGAAAATGCACTATGGTTCTCTTAGTCTGCTCTCTGCAGGCATCCCCCAACTGGCCTCCACCCTCCATTTGTCACAGTGTCCCTCCCTTCCCCTTCAAAACTCTTCCCAAGTCAACACCAAACAAGAGAATGTTCCATTTATCTTTCTCATGTACACACCCTGCCTGACCCAAAAGCCTATGCACAAATATAGAGAAATTGAGCCTGTTTTGCATAACATCTTTGTGATTTCTCTTTGCATAAGCCCTTTGGCTACAGGGTCATTGTGTTCAAACACATTTCATAGTGCTGGGCTCTGATGTTCTTAGATTTATTCCTCTCCAGAGGTATTGTAATTTAAAAAGTAGTGAAGAATCTCCTCTGTTTGAGAGTTTAGTAACCAAGGATAGTCAAAAAAGTTATTCAGAAGACTTTCATGTTCTGATACTACTGGGGTAATGGGAGCTCTGAAAAACTTAATAGTGAGGATTAAGAAGGGTCTGGAGGAGTCAAGACTATTGTGGGATAGCCCCCATACTTTGACCCACAGCTAATCTTAGCATTTAATGGTAGAAAATTGAAATTATCAGGACTTATAGAATTGCATTTGATAGTCAAGCCCAAATTAGTTTTAGCAAAACAGGCTATTTAATGGCCCTGAAAACTGAGCTTTCTAGGCATGCAGCTGGGTTTGGACACAGGTGGTTATCATTTCTCTATTTTCTTTCTCTCTGTGTTGGCTCTATTTTCAGGTGGACTTAATTCAAATGAAGGTGAGGGTGTACTCGAGCAGCTTCATCTTGTTACTTAGAAAACCCCAAGCAGAATGATAAAGCTTTTTTCCCTGAAAGCCCAGTCAAAGTCCTGGGGAAGGATTTCAGGGACTCAATGTGGCTCATGTGGGTTCCTCTGAAGAAAGCAAACAGCCTTTTACTAGTCCCACTTCATCAAGCTGCCCAGCCCTAGGAGCGGGAGTTAAGAGCAGTCTCTCCGAAACTCCACGATGGCTCACTCAAGGGAAATTAGAGTGATCTCCAGGGAAGGGGATGCTGGCCAGACAGAACCAAAGTGCCCTCTAACAGATGGTAAGTGGCAGTGTGAAGAGGATTTTCATTCAGCTGTAGATGAGGTTGGGATCAGTCTTTAGCTAGTATAAGCAAATTAAGTTCTACAACATACAAATCATGCAGGGTGTTGCAGAAAGACGTCAAGCTCTAGAAGGAAAGTGTCATAGGTAAGTGTAATTTAGTGAGATTTCAGTCTTCTTCCTCTCCAAGTCTCCCCTTTGACTGTGTCTTGATTGCACCCAACCCTTATGTCCCTCTCTATTTTACCTTGGTAATCCCCTGCAGCACATACTAATACTGAGAATAGTGCAAATGAAGCATTTGAAGGACTACCTCCTACCCATTGGCCTTTCTTTCCTGTCTGGGCAGCAGGATGAATTCTATTCCACAAGGTTGCCATGTTTCTTGTTTTTCTAAACTCATTGCTTCCCTCTGCATGTTCCAGATGTTGGTCCATAGGAGACCTGTAGCTGGCCATATTGATTGTTCCTCTCTGATGTTGCTGGACAGGGATACTCTGCATCATGTTATTTTCCGAGGGAATCAGCAAAATGTGGTGGAAAAAGCACTGCACAATCAGGTCCCTTGTCACTCCCATATGCCTCAACTTCTTTCTATTGCTATCATTATCAGACTGGTCACACTATGGATAGTCTCAGATTTCTTCCCCTCCCCCAGTGAGACACCTCTAACTTAACACTAGATGAGATCTAAGCAATATTAAAGGTAGAATTTCTCTTAAGTATATAATTTGGGGCTCATGCTTAGCTTGTAGCTAAGAAAGCATTAAACTATTTTCAGATAAATCCATTGTAAAGTATTTTTAGAATTTGAGTTACAACCGAAAAGTCCTCTATCTTACCTAATTGATATTATCTTCTGGGATAAACATTAAAAATGCAGAATGAGTGAATCTTGACTATAAGCATTTCATGTGTCTCAAAGATACCACATTTTATTTATTTATATTTTTAAAAGGAAGTGAAAAAGAACAGGGAGACACCAATCATTGAGATAAACAAAGTGCCTGTGTGTTGATCTGAGATTCTAACCCAGTCTTCAAGATTTAGGGAGCTGGTTTATTATTTTTTTTTGAGTTCTTTGTATATTCTAGATATTAGTCCTCTTTCTGAGGAGTAGCTTGAAAACATTTTTTCCCATTCTCTAGGTTTCTCTTCACTCTACTGATTGATTCTTTTGCTGTATAGAAGCTTTTTAGTCTGATATAATCTCATTTGTTGATTCTTGCTGCTATTTCTTGTGCCAGTGAGGTTCGGTTTAGAAAATCCTTTCTTACACCTATGTCTTCAAATGTTTTACCTATTTTATCTTCCAAAAGGTTTAATGTTTCTGTTTTAATGTTTAGATCTTTGATCCATTTTGATTTTAATTTATACATGGTGAGAGGTAAGGATCCAGTTTCATTCTTGTGCAAACACAGAAACTGGTTGGAATAACCAGTTTTTCCAACACCGCTTGTTAAATAGGACATCTTTCCTCCAATAAACTGCATGAACTGCAAACATGTACTAATAAAAATAAGTAAAGATTTTAAAATAAAGTTTAGAGATTTTATGAAAAACAAACAAAGAAAAAAGATTTAGGGAGCTGTTGACCAACATCAACTAGACTTTCATCTGATGAAGCTGGGGAGGCAGTTACTTCATCTCAGTTGTATTCAAAACTTTTCTTAGGCCTGTTCACAAGATTTCATGGGTTCTTCTTTTTGTCATTTTTGTGAGCAGTAAAAGATATCATTGAAAAATATCTGTAACCTCTTTCCCAATCTCAAAAGTATGCCAATGAGTTTTCATTTGGAGACATAAACTTTCCATAAATGAATCTTTGCTTTTTATCTGAACATAATGGTGATGTTTGGCAGGATCATATTAAAGACTATATTCTTGTGGCTAATTATATTAATTGCCAAAATTGAGTTCCTATCTCTTAATAAAAATGAAGCTATCTTCAAGATCAGCTAGTCTTCCATTCCTGTGGGAACTGAAGTATAGGATCAAATACTTAATGTTCTTTATGTACATATCCAAAATGTACCTAAGGATTTTATTATTCAGCCCACTTATCTCCATTGTATCCATTAGAATTAAAGATGAATCTATGTTGACATATATACATAAACTATATACATATACATATATGTGTATACACACATATAGATACACAAATCATCTACTATTGTTTGGATGTTGAATGTTCTTCAAAGGCACCTGTGTTAAAGACTTGGCTCAAACAGTCACCTGGGTCAAAGGCAGAATCACATTGCAGAAGGGCATGGTAGAGGAAAGCTGGTAGTTAATGGAAGCCTGAAGCAGAGCAGAGTAACAGTGCCAGAGAGAAAGGGACAAAAGACGAGACATAGACCCCCAAGACCACTCTTCCATGGCCCACCCAGGCACACCCACTAGTGTGCTCCATCAGTCCCTCAAGCAGATCTCAAAGCAAATCAAATTGACACTCTACCCTAACAGGGGGTGATGACTCATTGGAAGGAATGATGCAGAAGAAACATGAAAAAAATAATCTGATACATAAAGGGAAAAGATAAAGAGAAAAGAGAAGAAAGAAGATGTGGCCATGAATAAGAAAGGGAGAAGAAAGAAGTGCTTATAATTTTACACTCCAAGGGAGGGGGATGTCCCCCCCATATCCTTAGCTCATTGCCTAATTTTACTCTAGCTAGTACTGTATGCAATAACCAAGGTAGATTTCTAGAACAGCGAGGTCTTTTTGATCTGCTGGAATTCATTCCTGGATGTTAGAGAAAGAAATTTTTTGGCCTCTGTCCTTGGATAAGTAGGTCAAAGTATTAATTAGCCCACAGATATGCATTTGACTAGGCTGGAGAAAGGAAAGACTACAGTAGTATCTCAGTTCATGAACGCTTTCGTTTGTAAACAGTTTGGTTCAAAACAGAAGCATTTGGCAACATTTTGTTTTTGTTTGCCAACTCTGGATCAGGTAATGAACATGACTGCAGCCATCTTTCCTGAATGAAAGCGGCCATCTTTTCCAGGATCGTTCGTGAACCAAGGCACCACTATATTAGCAAATTCATTTTTTTCAGAGAATTAGATGGTGAGATCAAATCTAGAACCTCAGACTGCATGTGGTGAATAGTGAGGAGATGAATACAAAGGTGTCCAGCCATGCAGAGAAATAGGAACCAATGGCAAGAACTCCCTGCAGGTAATGCAGAAGAAAAAGGATAGGATTTGGAGTCAGGACTTATATGTTCAGATCAGGGTCTTGCTATATGCCTTGGTCCTGTTATTTTACCCTATGAGGAACTCAGTTTTCAAGTATGTATAATGGTGTCTCTACTATGTTTTAGATCTAGAATGTTTCCCCAAAGTATCATTTGTTCAGAGGTGGTGGTTTTTTGAAGGTGATTGAATCATGCAGTGCTATACTCATCATCAGATTAAACCACTGATGAATCCACAGCTGAATGTACCATGAGGAGGTGGGCTTCACACATGTGTAAATACCGAATAGTTTCTCTGGTGTGAGAAACTGAAAGTGTAAATAAGGACTAAATGTATAATAGGTAATGTGAAATAGGAAGAAAA